AAGATGGAGGCCTCCCAGATGGGCTCCGAGTACAGTGTCAACCAGAGTAGTAAGGATGCGCGTTGAGGATGCAAGGGCCTTGGAGGGACATCTCGAAGCTCTTCGAGCGGGAGTCAGCCCGTAAGTAAGGATGCGGGATACGGGTGCAACGGCCCTGGAGGGACGTGTCGAAGCTTTTCGAGCACAACGCGGCCAACGAAACTGGCCAAGGATGGACCGAGGAGGCAAGGATACAAGGGTGCCCTTGGGAAGGTTGCCCATCCATACTATGCGGGTTGACAGTAGATGGGTCGGAGGATCGCGCCACATCGCCGATGCATCGGCGATGCATCGGCGATGCGTCGGCGATGCACTGGGGATGCACCAGCGACGCATCGTCGACGTGGGCGATGCATCGGCGACGTCGACGTGAAGGAGATCGGGCGCCACATCGAGCCGCATCGGCGATGCATCGGCGATGCGGCGCGATCTTCCGACCCCATCTACTTCGACCCCATCTGGGAGGCCTGACAAGAGGGGGGCGTCCAAGAGGGGGGGCGCTAATCATGGCCGGCGGCGTGTGCGCGGCCCAAGGGGGGGGGCCAGGGACGTAATGAAATACGAAGAGGCGCAATGACATCTCGGGAAATATCATGGCGCACCCCTCCCTCGTCATCACCCCCCTCATTGCCGCCCCCGATTTTTCCAATGGATCCTGCACTGGTCTGGGCAGGGCCAAATCCTGGGCCCAGGACCCGTGGCACGCGCGCCCCGAGGTGGCCTGGCCAAGGAAGACGCGTGCAGCTGCTCCCCCCGGCAGGTGGCGACATCCGAACCCTACCCTTGGGTCGGGCATGTCCTCCTGCAGGCGGATGTTGGACGACAAACGAAAAAATGTAAACAAACAAAAAAAAAAAAAAAAAAAATTCGAAGCAGAATCGAACAATCGTCCCCAGACTACATGTCTGACTATGTTTGAAGACTCGCCCCGTAGAGAGACACGCCCGGCTTCACCCTGCCCCCACCGACCATCAGGTCTCCTGAACTGATTGGAGGCGGCCGCCGCCCATCGAGTTACCCGAATCTCCGATCGGCTGGGGTGGGGTTCGGATCTCGGCGCTCGGTTTTGGGGTTTGGGTGTGCAGCTGGCGTCCCCGCGGGGGAGGGAGAGGAAGGGCAGAGGGGCGGGGCAGGGAGAGGCGGGGGGGGGCCTCCATCCCAGCTCGCACAATGATCGGGGCGGACGAGAGGGGGCGCGCAAAGAGGGGGTCGACGAGGCAGCTGCGCGTGGCTGATTTTGCGGGCGCATCGGGGCGCCGGGAGCGACCAAGATACGAGCAACATGCCTGGTGGGGGATCCGAAACACGCGACATGCAGACGTGTTCTTAAGCGCCCTGCAGCTGCCCTTCGGGGCTCAGGGTCTTCCGGGATACCCCCAGTCGGCTGAAGGAGCAGGGTCCAGCGCAATTGCCAGGAATGGGCGGGGTGTGGCGCGAGCGCCCCTGGCTCGTCTTGGCCCCTCTTCTCGCGACCCCCTGTCTGACCGCCCGACACAAACCCGCGGCCAGCGCGGCATTCGACGCGCCCTTCCGCTCCCGTGGGGCCCTCGCCCGGGAACGTAGCCGCGAGGACGCCCACAGAAACCGGACAACGACGTCCTACATCTTCTGGAGGACAGCGCTGATGCAGTCCTGCTTCGCCTTCTCGTCTTCGACTACGGCTGCCAGCAGGGCCGCCACGCACTCGTCCTTGGCCCCCTCCTCCATGCCCCGAGGCCCCATGGCGCCGACCAGCGCCGACAGGCACTCCTGCTGCGCCTTCTGATCGGCACCCTCCGTGCCCAGCGCCGACAGCATGGCAGACATGCAGTCTGCCCTAGCTTTGGAATCGCCGTCCTCGGACGCACACGACCGCATCATGGCCGCCAGAACTTCCTCCTTCGCCTTCGCGCTCGTGTTCTCGGACAGGTTCAGCGCCTCCAGGCAGTCCTGTTTGGCCTTGCCATCATCATCCTGGGACCTCACCATACTCCCCATCAGGGCCTGCAAGCATTCGTCCCTGGCCATGCCGTCCTGCTCGAGAGCGCCGACCAGCGCACCCATGCAGTCCGACTTGGCCTGCTGGTCCGCATCCTCAGAAACAGCCATGGCGCCCATCAGGGCCTGCAGACACTCGTCCTTGGCATTGCCGTCCTGCTCGAGAGCGCCGAGCAGCGCGCCCATGCAATCTGCCTTGGCAGTCTTGTCCATGTCCTGGGAAGACCCCATGGCCGTCATCAAAGCTTGCAGGCACTCGTCCTTGGCCCTGCCGTCCTGCTCGAGAGACCCGAGGAGCGCACCCATGCACTCGTCTTTGGCCTGCTCGTCCATGCCACCCGACGACCCCACGGCTGCCATCAGGGCGCTCAAGCACTCCTGCTTTGACTGGCCGTCCTCCTCAAGTGCACCGAGCATCGCGGACAAGCACTCAGACTTGGCGCTCTCGTCGGCATCCTGCCCTCCCACGTGGCCGACCAACGCCTGTATGCACTCCTGCTTGGCCTTGCCGTCCTCCTCCATGGCGCTAATGAGCGCACCCATGCAATCCGTCTTGGCTTGTTGGTCCAGATCATCCGACGCCGTCATAGCCCCGACCAGCGCCTGCAGGCACTCGTTCCTGGCCTTGTCGTCCTCTTCGAGCGCGCCGACCAGTGCTCCCATACACTCCTGCTTGGACTTCCTGTCGCCGTCCATTGACACGAGGAGCGCAGTCATGCAGTCTTCCTTGGCCGTCTGGTCGTACTCCTGCAGGGATGTCATCAAGGCAGACAGGCACTCCTTCTTGGCGTCCCCCTCTGCGCTCATCGCACGGTCTAGCTCACCCTGCAGCTCACTGTCCATCTTCTTTGCGGCCGACAGCTCATCTTTCTTCCTGCTGGACGCGCGCAGAATGGGTTACGCACGGTGAGGGGAGGCGGCCCTCTGAAAGGGCAGAGCCTTTCTACATTAGGGTCCTATCCCTTCGTGCGGGGTGTCTACGAGGGCATCCCAGAAACGTCAGATGAGTCCAGCGCCGTCTCAGAGGTCACTGAAAATAGTTCTGAGTAGAAGGCTCGAAAAGGTTCCACGATGCGTGGTGCCTACTTAGAACGCCGCCCCCCCTCGCCCCGCCCCCAGACCAATATCCGCTCAGAACTGTCCAGGGACTCCCCCCGAGGTCCATTCCGACATTTCACTAGCCGCGTCCAACTGTGACGATGAGAGCCACCAAACACGTCCAGAGGAGCATCACAGACCGCCCCCAGCCGCGGCCGCGAGGGCCCTCCAGGTCGCTGGAAAATGGAAGAACACATTGCAGGAATCCTGGGGGTCACCAAGTTTGCCTCGCCCCCAAAGTGGAGGATAGAAGATGGCAGAAGACCCACCCCATGCCGACATGCGAAGCCCTTCCGTAGACGTGTGACTAGTTCAGGAATCGAGCAGGGCAGGACCGGTCAGGAAGCTCCCAGGGCTGACTGGCAAGTCCCAGTCAGGGGGGGTCCGGGTAGCGTTCCCTTCCTCAGCAACGTTAGCTCAGAACAGATCCAGACAACCGGCAGCTCTCCGGGGGGTCGGGGTAACGTTCCCTCCCTCAGCGGAGTTCGCCCATAACAGGGCCAGACAGCCGGCAGCTCTCCCGAGGCCCATCATGGCAGCTCTCCCGAGCCGCGCCCAGCCGCGGCCACGAGGGTTCAAGGCGGAGGGAGCGCCAGAGGTGCTGGACGCCAAGGCCGCCCCCTCTCCGCCCTGCTTCGGGTAGCGGCGGAGGTGTCCCTGGCCCCAAGGCCCCCCCCCCTGCCTCCGAGCCACTCAGGGGGCACCCGGGCCTCCCCTCTGGGCCTCGCCTGGGGCCACCAGGACCTCCGCGGCAGCCCTGGGGGCCATGAGCTCGTTCTGCCCAGCACCTCGGCGCATGCTCTGGATGGGGCAATCATCGCCCCCCCCTTGGATCCGCTGGGGGGGTTGGACATGTGCTGTCGAAACGGGTGGAGGAAGGGTTGGAGGAAGATGAGGAGGAGGAGGAGGAGGAGGAGGAGGAGGAGGAGGAGGAGGAAAGGGAGAAAGATGCGTAAGGGCGGTCGGTCGGAAGGTTCAGACCCCCCCTTGATGAATACCCCATCCATAGTACCCTGCCACAAACGGTCGACTGTAAGGCAAATGCGTGCATACACAGTTCCATAAGATGTGCCCGACGTGTCCTGGAGGATCGGTTGCCGTGGAAACGAAACGCCATGATGGGCCAATTCCCGCCGCCACCACTACCATAGGTAGGAGAGGGAGGCGGAGGAGGAGAGGGAGGCGGAGGAGGAGGGGGAGGAGGAGGACCTCCCCGTCCTCCCTTCTCACCCGCCCTACAGGTGGTAGTGGTGATGGAACATTTGCCCACCATGCCAGCACCCGACTTCAGCGCGCCGCCGATCCTCGACGTGCTCTTCGCCTGCGCGGCGCCCTTCGGCGACGGGCGCGCGGCTGCGGGCTTCGGCCCCGCGGGGGCCTGCGGGTCGCCGCTACTGCACAATTTGGCCGCGAGCATCGCCGCCGGGTCCGCGGGCCTCTCGCGCAGCACCGCCTGCATGGCCTCCGAGAGCTTCACCTCGAGGCCGTGCTTGGACAGGTACTCCCGCGCCGCCTCCGCCAGGCGATCCACACTCTGTCCATTCGCCTGCTCATGCCCCGACCCCACCAAGGACCAGAGCGGCTGCATGGATCAAATCCGGGCTACTGGAGCCACGTTCTTCATCCTGCTTCCCCGGGCGCCCAGCAACGGGCAGCAGCAAGGGCATGGATCGAGCGTCGAGCGTCGATCCGTGGCGAGGAGCGCGAGGGCGGGAGAGCACGAACCGTCCCCGCCGGGAGGGGGAGGGGGGCGGGCCGACTGACGACTGGCCCGGCGGACCATGGCCCCTAGAGCGACAGGCTGGGGGAGACGACCAGCGGCTGGCGAGGAGCGAGGAGGGCCGGAGGGAGTGGATGGAGGAGCGAGGAGGAAAGGAGGAGGAGGAGGAGGAGGAGGAGGAGGATTGGCGGAGAAAGAGGAGGAGGAGTAGGAGGAGGAGGACTGGAGGCAAGTTTGGAGGAGGATCGACGACATAAAAAAGGACCACGTCTCAGCTTGAAAGATCGTGCGCACCGGACGAAGCGGTTCGCTTCCAACCAGGGAGTCGAACCTGGTTCTCTTTACGGCAACCAGCTCGCCGACGAGTGAGCCAATAAGGGTGCCACGGTGCACCTGATGAACTACCGTATCCGAGACAGGCTCAAGTTCCATCGTGATCAGGTAGCTTTCCTCGCCTGGTGCATGACAGATGTGCTGAAGTTTGCGACAGACTTGGGTGCCCGGACGTTGAGGCCATCAAAGCCCCCCTGCTCGAGGTCATTTCAGATGATAAGGGTCACGAACTTTCGCGAATTCCTGGTGAGTGGGGCTGTAGGGTCTGTGGCCAGGGACGGTTCATGCGCTCTCGGCCGGTGCAGCTGCCGTGCCCTGGGGCCCCTGGCGTGTTTTCGAAGGTCCATCCCGCCCACCGTCTTCGGGTCAACGGGCCCGTCATCTGGTGCGCTCGCGGTGGAGTCTACTCTCAGAGCAAAGTCAAAGACCTGACCATGGATCGGCGGCGAGCCCAGGTGGAAGTGAGAAGGGGTGGGGGGTGGGCCTAAAGAAGGCTCGGAATCCCCCTGGCCTTCTGGGAAGTTTCCTAAGCCTTCCCCGGGAACGCAGAAAGCCTCTCAGAGGGCGCAAGGGCTTCTGAGAAGTCCCGCCGCCTTCTGAGAAGGCCTCCTCCTTCTGAGTTCCCCCCCTCGATCGCCGCCGATCTCCTCTCAGTTCTCTTCTGGCGGGTGGCAGTGGGGGGATGACCTGGATGGGGGGCGAAGACAAGGGCCCTGCAGGGTCCCTTTGGGGCCCCTTTCTGGGCACCTGCTGGCCCCAGCATCAACAGGGCCCCCCCCTGTCTTCGTCCCCAGTTTCGGCTACCCCTCACCACCACCTGCCCGAGTTCCCCTGAGCGTGCGGGCACCCCGTGCTCACGGGATGCCTCGTGCGCGCAGAGCTCAGAGGAGAAGGGAGCGAGGAGGAGCGAGGGAGCAGGGAGGGATGTGTGCAAAGGGGGGGCGGAGCGAAGAGGGGTCGGCCTTCTGAGGAGGCCCCCCCCCCTCCTGGAAGCTCTCTGTCATCCGAGACACGAACAGCATCTCAGAACAAGAGGGGCCGATCGTCTCTAAAGTCCACTGGCTTCTTGAAGCGCCGCCCCCCCTCGCCCTGCCCCCCGGTTGCGCACCGCTGAGGTCCCACGCCGCCTTCATGTCCTGCGTCTCCTTGCTCTCCTTCTTCTGGCCCGACTCCTGCTGGCTGGACTCGTCCCGGTCCACGTTGACCTTCAGGCCGAGGCAACCGAAGCCAGCCTCGCCGCAGTCGATCAGCACGTCTCTGGCGCCTGGACGAATGAAAAACGTCGCTAGCATCCAGCATCTCGCATGAAGGAGGGAACGGGCCCTGGATCCCGAAGCCTTCCCTGCGAGGCAGGGAATTGTCCATATCCACCGCCTGGGAACCGACGTCCTGGTGTCCAAGCGGGCGGTGGATATGGATATATTTCGGCCCCCGGGGGCCCGAATATGTCCATATCCACCGCCTTCCGCGGTTCCGAAAACTGACCCTCCAGGAGGTGGTCATGTATAAATTCCCGCCTCGGATTCCCCCAGGACCAATTCGGGCGTTGGCAGAACTGGGTTTAGTGGGACCTGGTTTAATGATGTGTACTGGGGGGCGCCCCCCCCTCCCATTCCACTAACCGGAACTGCCGTAACCCGAAAAGCATCAGCCACGGCATACCTGGTTTAGTGATTCCAATCCATATTTGGGGCCTCGGGGACCAATCACTAACCGGCTCCCCTTAACCGGGGTCCTGGCCATACCCGACCAATTCTTCATCCTGAGCCGCTCTCTAACAACAGGTCCCCCGGGGGCCCGTGGAGGGCCCAAGAAGCCGGTCGCAACGCGAAACAAAATTCGATGCCGGTCTGCCTCGGGACCCGTTGCTCTGACGACGAAGTAAAGCTGTCCGAAGTCCGCGCAGTCGGGGGGGGGGGGGGTCATGGGGTGTGACCTGCATGGGGAGTGAAGAAACGAGCCCTGAAGAGGCCCTCTAGGGCTCCTCTTGGAGCCAGGGCCCGAATGGGACCCCAGGGCCCCTTTCGGGCTTCGTCTTCACCCCCCATGTAGGCCACCTCCCATTACCACTCGCCCAACGCGGGATTCTCGGGTCGGCGCGGGATCTCCCTCCACTCAAACCCTCCCTCAGCGCGCGGGGCGCGCCGAGGGGAGACCCAGAGGTTCGAGGGGGACATCGACCTGGAATCGGCGATACAACGTCGATCGTTCGGCGGCAAGCCCCCGATTGCGAATCCGCACTTTCCTGGGCCGAGTGGGCCTATCAGACCCCTATCGGCGATGAATTGGCGATTGGGGGTCGATGCGTCCCCTCCTGAGCCTATCCCCCCCTTCGTTGTCCCTGAGTGGGGGGGCGGACCTTCGCGGGTGTGTACGAAAGGCGTTCCTTCCCTGCAGGGGGCCATCACCCCGGGGCGCGGTCACCCTATGCCGCGAGGGCTGGGGCTGGGCGGCTAGCCGTGGTACTCAACCCACGGGGTCGCTCTACCCAGTGAAAGAAAAGCCGGAAGGCCGGAAGGCCACATAGGGGAGGCGGCCGTGAGGGTCTTCATCGCCGCCGAGCCCGCCGGCACGCCCACGCTGGACCTTTTTCTTAGGTTGAGGCGTCTGTCAACCCGTCAGGATCTCCGGCGGGGGCATCGGACTTCGCTCCTTTGCTAATTTCGCGTGCCCCAGGAATCTTGGTCCAGGGGCATCGGCTTCAGTCCTTTGCCCCAGGCTGTGAGTAGCGGCACCGTGGTTGCTCATCGCCTGCGCCCTCCAGGGGCGCTAAAACTCGGTAACGGTGCCCAGAGCAAAGATCTCTGGAGGAGGGGCCCCCCGTGGGCCGCACAACCTCGCCATCGCTCGGACGTCCTTTCCCTGTTGTTTTCGGTTTCGTGCGTGGTTTTTTCGCCAAGTGATCAAGGATGCTCCTCGATGGTCCTCGCCGAAGGAAAATGCACACGTCCGAGCGATGCCAAGCAACCTCGCGCGCGGTGTGTACGAAATGGGCTGCCCTTCGCGGTGCGCGGGGCGTGGGGGTCGCTGCCGGAGATGGGTTCGGCGGGCGGGGGGGCGCCAGAACTGGCCGTCGGGCGGGGTGGCACGGGCGGGGAGAGCAAGAAAAGACGCACGCACCGAGCCGCGCACGTGCCAACCGCCCTCCAGTCCTCGAGGCCAGCCTCCTGTGGCGAAAGCTTGCGCAACCCATCTTCTTGAAACCAACGAACATGCATGTACATGTGCGGCTTTATTTCGTTCCTGAACGGCTTTCATGTGCATGCGCGACTTTTATGTACATGCACAGCTTCAATCTACATGTACGGCGTATTGAACAATCTGGGATATGTGCCCAGACATCCGAACTCCAATGTTTTCGATGCGTGGACCCCCAGAGGTCTAGATGATTATCCAAAGGATGGTGCTTCACGTCAGGGCCCGTACACGGCCCCCGGCGGGAGCCGGAACTAGCCCAAAACAGGAGCCTCCAATTTGTTCGGAGCCTCGGATCTCTGGGTGCTTATGAAGTTGCTTTTGCTGTTGATGTTGCTGTTGTTGTTGCTGCTGCTGTTGTTGTTGTGGTTGTGTGATTGTTGCTGTTGCTGCTGTTCCCCACATCTTTAGCGGGGTTATGGTTTTCTTCCCTGCCGCGTCGCACCCGCGTTCCTTCTTCTTTTCCTCCTCCTCCTCCTCCTCCTCCTCCTCCTCCTCACCACCCTTTTGCTTCTCCGTCTCGCTCGCACGCAGGGCGTGGCAGGCGTGGCACTCTCTCCACACCAGAAAGGGGTGCGCAGGGGGTGGTCTCTCACCGCGGTCTCTAGACGCGCCAATGCCGCAGGGTCCAGCAGGCGGGGTACTTTCTCGGCGTCAGAACGGGTGCGCAGGGCGGGGTCTTTCACGGGGTCTCCATATGCGCCAATGTCGCAGGGCCTAACAGGCGTGGCACTTTCTCGGTGTCAGAAGGGGTGCGCAAGGGGTGGTCTCCCACCGCGGCCCCTATACGCGCCAATGTAGCAGGCGTGGCAGTTTCTCGACGTCAGTGGGGGTTCGCAGGGGGTGGTCTCTCACAGCGGTCTCCAGACGCGCCAATGTCGCAGGGCCTAGCACGTCAGAACGGGTGCGCAGGGGGTGATCTGTCACCGCGGTCTCTATACGCGCCAATGTCGCAGAGCCTAGCAGGCGCGGCACTTTCTCGACGTCAGAACGGGTGCGCAGGGGGTGGTTTCTCACCGCGGCCCCTATACGCGCCAATGTCGCAGGGCCTAGCAGGCGTGGCACTTTCTCGACGTCAGAATGGGTGCGCAGGGGGTGGTCTCTCACCGCGGTCTCCATACGGGCCAATGTCGCAGGGCCTATCAGGCGTGGCGCTTTATCCACGCCAGAAGGGGGACGCAGGGGGTGGTTTCTCACCGCGGTCTCCATACGCGCCAGTGTCGCAGGGCCTAGTAGGCGCGGCACTGTCTCGACGCCAGAAGGGGTACACAGGGGTGGTCTCTCACTGCGGTCTCTATACGCGCCTATTTCGCAAGGCCTAGCAAGCGTGGTATTTGCTCGACGTCCGAGGGGGGGCGCAGGGGGTGGTCTCTCACCGCGGTCTCCATACGCGCCAATGTCGCGCGGCCTGACAGGCGTGGCACTTTCTCGACGTCAGTGGGGGTGCGCAGGGGGTGGTCTCTCACCGCGGTTTCAAAACGCGCCAATGTCGCAGGGCCTAACAGGCGTGGCACTTTCTCGGCGTCAGAAGGGGTGCGCAGGTGGTGGCTCCTCTCCGCGGTCTCTATAAGCGCCAGTGTCGCATGGCCCAGCAGGCGTGGCACTTTCTCGACGCCAGACAAGGGTACGCAGGGGGTGTTTTCTCACCGCGGTCTCTGCACGCGCCAATGTCGCAAGGCCCAGCACGGGTGTTATGCAGTATGCGCGGGTGCCTCAGGGCCTCAGGCGACAACTGGGCTACGAAGATGCGTCAGGGCATGGATCACGGCGGCCGCTATGCGCGCCGGTCGTCCAGGGCATAACAATCGTGGCACTTTTCTCGACACCATAGAGGGTGCGCAAGGGGTGGTCTCTCACCGCGGCCGCTATGCGCGCCGGTCGCCCGGGGCACAGCAGGCGTGGCATTTTCTTGACACCAGAGAAGTTGCTTAGAGGGGGTCGGTGTCCCAGGGCCTATGGACCCCTCAGGGCACTTAGGCTCCCAAGGCCAGGCGCCACCAACGGGATCGGCGAAGCGACGGCCACCGGCAACATTTTCGCCAATCTCACGTCAGCTATCATCACGCCTGACATGATAGAAGTATGTGTGGTTCCTCGGTAGCGTAATTATTGAATTCTCACTACCGAACAATAATTATTGTTGATCCCCCCTCTCCGGTGCATATGCAGTTTTTCCTATTGAAGTGCCTTTCCCGGCGTTCGCATCCTGTTTTCTGATAAAGGAAACCCTTGCTCCTCAAACTGGGCCCCTGGCGCCCGGGTTACAACAACAACGGCCACCGCCCGAGACTTCCTCACAATTTAGCCAGGACCCCCGCTCCCGCTTGAGACTTCCTCGTATGTTATTCAGGAATCGCGCTCTGGCTTGGGAATTCCGCACAATTAATTCAGAACTCGCTCTCTCGGCGCTCTGGAATTGCGCTTTCGCTGGAAACTTGCATGCCGTCTACTTAAAAGGTAGCGCCCTTGCGCGGGCATGTTCTCGAAATTTACTCAAGCGCCCAGTTTCCGACACTCAGGCACCCAGCAGTCGCGCTCACGCTTAGGACTCCCTCGCAGATTATTTTGGAATGGGGGTGTCGCTGCCCTTCCTGGCCCCGTTGCAGCCCTTCCTAACCCCCTCGCTGCCCTTCGTGGCCCCTTCGCTGCCCTTCGTGGCCCCGCTGCAACCCTTCGCGGCCCAATCGCTGCCCTTCGTGGCCCCGCTGCAACCCTTCGTGGACCCCTCGCTGCCTTTGGTGGACCCGTTGCAGCCCGTCGTGGCCCCCATCGCTGCCCTTCGTGGCCTCGTTGCAATCCTTCGTGGCCCCCTCGGTGCCCTTCGTGGCCCCGTTGCATCCCTTCGTGGCCCCCTCGCCGCCGTTCGTGGACCCGTTGTGGCCCCTCGTGGCCCCCTCGCTGCCCTTGGTGGACCCGTTGCAGCCCGTCGTGGCCCCGATGCAGCCATTCGTGGTCCCCTCGCTGTCTTCGCGTCCCCGTTGCAGCCTTTCGTGGCCCCCTCGCTGCCCCTCGTGCCTCCCCCATATATATATATATATATATATATATATATATATATGTTTGTCTGTCTGTCTGTCTGTCTGTCTGTCTGTCTGTCTGTCTGTCTGTCTCTGTCTGTCTGTCTGTCTGTCTGTCTGTCTGTAAGTAGATAAGTAAGTAAGTACGTAAGTAAGTCAGTAAGTAAGTATGTCTGTATGTCTGTATCTCTGTATGTCTGTATGTCTGTCTGTCTGTCTGTCTGTCTGTATGTATGTATGTATGTATGTATGTGTGCCCTTCGTGGCCTCCGCTCGTTCGCGCCCGTCGCGGGCCCATACGCGTGCCCTTCGCGGACCCGCTGTCGCCCTTCGCGGCCCCCATCAATGCCATTCGTGGCCCCGTTGCTGCCCTCAGTGGCCCCGTCCTTGCACTCCGCGGCCCAATGTACGCATGCCCTTCGTGGCCCCCGCTCGGTCGCGCCCGTCGTGGCCCCATGTACACGCCCTTCGCGGCCCCGCTGTCGCCCTTTGTGGACCCCTCGCTGTCCTACGTGGCCCAGTTGCTACCCTCAGTGGCCCCGTCGTTGCCTTTTGTGGCTCCGCATTATTTGCCCTTCGTGGCCCCATGCGCGTTCCCTTCGTGTCCCCGCTGTCGCCCTTCGTGGCCTACTTCGTGCCCTTCGTAGCCCTGCTGTCGTTTTTTCTCTCGCTCTCGCTTTCGCTCGTCGTCGTCGTCGTCGTCGTGGACGGTCCCCTGTCCGTCCTTCTTGGGGTTGGGTTGCCGCCGATCAGCGCTGCCGCTGGCCAGGCCGACGGTCCGCGGCCGCCCCGCCGCTTGCCAGGGCCCGGCCTGCAGGGAAGAAAGGTATACCCCCCAACAGGGGTACGATCGAAGACGAAGAGGGCGGGTATCGAGGGTTTGGGAAATACGCGTTAACGGACACTCGAGCAGATAAGAGCGAGCAGTCTTAAAATGATTGTTGTTGTTGGTGTTGTTGGTGCTGTTGAATGTAAATTACTGAACAATTATTATTATGGGACCCCCCCCAGGCGGCGCCGGCTGCATTTTTATTGATAATGGGGCTCACGCTCGAGCGGTTTGGGGGGCGCTAAAACTCCCCCCCGGCAACAAAAAGGCTCCTGCTCGAGACGTTCCCCTTTTTTACTCAGGGCTGGTGCTCTTGCTCGCCGCCGAAAGCCGCCGTCCCAACAAAACCAGCGCTACCACTCGAGACTTCCTACAGGTAACCTTCGACTGGCGCGCTACTCTTTCTCTCACTGGCGTCGCCGCCAGCAACAACAACGCTCCCGCTCGAGACTTCCCCCCTTTTGACTTAGCGCCGCTCCCAGCAAGAACAAAGCTCCCGCTCGAGACTTCCTCCTTTCAATACTCAGGACGGTGCTGTTCCTCGCCGCCGACAGCCCCCGTCCCGACAAAACCACGGCTACCGCTCGAGATTTCCTCCTTTCTTACTCACGGCGGTGTTCCTCCTCGCCGCCGACAGCCGCCGTCCCAACAAAACCAGCGTTTCCGCTCGACACTTAAATGTTGAATTTCCTCGGAAGAGGTGTTTGCAAAACCTCATTGGGCGGGGGATCTGGGAATGGGAATGACGGGCCCCGCTATAGAACAATAGTCCCCCATGATGGGGATGGTTATCATGATTGTCGCATGCTTCGCGTTGAAACATCGCATTAAGGTAAACTGATTGTTGTTGTTGGTGGTGTTGGTTGTTGTTGCTGTTGATGTTGAGGTTGTTATCGTTATTGCTGTTGCTGCTGTTGTTGTTATTGTTGTTGTTGCTGCTGCTGTTGTTGTTTGCCCTCGAGGGCCAGAGTTGGTGGCGTTGACGTCGAGGCTGCAGCTGCCTATGCGCTGGAACACCTCGACCTTGCCGAGCCGGCGGTCGCCCGCGTGCGGGAAGCGGAAGGAGTGCAGGGCCGAGAGCCGCGACAGCTTCTGGGCGTCACCGATGCGCACCGAGATGAAGCAATCTTTGGGGATGTAGGCGCCGCGCACAAGGGTCGGCGACTCCGAAGCGTGTGGTTTGCAGGGGGTGTGGTCTGCAACCGGCGCCCTGAGGGGCACCCTGGGGGGCAGGCAGGGACCTCGACAGAGCTCTCCGCCGCGCCCCAAGGAGGCCCAGCGAGGACACTGTCGTGCTCCCCAAGCCCCAGCAGCGCCGATCGCAAACCACGGCCCAGCGTCACCATACCATTTGTAATCGCCGAACGGGGGTGGCGCGAGTCGTGGGCCCGTGGCCTCGCGAGCTGAGCCCTGGGCTGCGAACCAGCTGATGTGGGCGTCTTTTCGCGGACGCCCCGCGCGGAACGGATCCGTGCGACCACGTATCTGCGGGATCGCGCCCCGGCACAAAATCCAAACCGCGAGGTCGCGGATACGGATATGTTCGCCGCTCGTGAGCGAGGGTGAGCGAACGAACGAACCCAGAGCAGTCCATTAGGGAGGGTATGGTGCGGAAGCCGCCGTGGCCTCGGCAAGGAAACCTCGAAGAAGGCGAGGGAACTTCTGAGAAGGGGCCTTCTTAGAGGGGACCGGAGGCATCTGAGAAGATTTCTCAGCAGCCGACGGGGTTTCTAAGAAGCCCTCTGCCTTCTTGGGAGGGCGCCACCCCCCACCCCAGCCACGCCCTTTTGCGCGCCGCCAAGGATGCCCTCGCCACTGCTTCGCTCCACGCGCAGCTGGACCATCTTCCCCTGCGACGAGGCACGGACTGCTGATGGGTAACAGCAAGGCCGCCCGGTTTTGCCTGAGCCAACATGGCTGCGGAACCCTCCTCTCCGTTCCTGCTGCGCCCCATACTCCTCCTCCTCCTCATCCTCCCTTCCCCCTCTCCCTGCATCCCCTCCTTTTCGTTCCTCTCCCTCCCTCGTCCTCCGTCTTCACTTTCCGTCTCCCTTCCCATGTTCTTCCTCTCCAAATCCCTCGTTTACCCTCCTCCCTCCTCCCTCACTCCTCCGTAGCTGTTTGGGATCACGGATTCCGCCTGTCGACAACTGTCCCATACACAGTCTTCCGGGATGATCGTGGTATCAATGTCTAATATAAACAAATACGGCCCCTCCCCCCAGCCCCAGGTGCCACACCTCCCCATGACATCTCGGGAACGCTCCCGGTACCGCTCCCCCAGGCGTTCCGGGGAGCCTCCACAGCGCTCCAGGAGGGCCCAAGACGACTCCAAGGAGACCCCAGAATGCGAAAGGATGGTCCACCAAGACGCTCCCAAGCAGCCCAAGTCAGCCTTCGACGGCTCTCGAGGCTCCCAGGTGACCTCCAAGAGACCCCAAGAAAGGTCCGAGAGGCGTCCCGAGACGGCCCGAAGAGGCCAAAATCGTAGATTTTCATTGGTTTGTTCAATGTTTTTGACTTCTCGTGTTTTCGAGCTTCGAACGGTCCAAGAGCGCCGAATAGGCTCCCAAGACCGCCCCAAGACCACCCAAGAGACCCTCAGGACGGCCCCAAGACGGGCCAAGAAGGCTCCAAGATTGCCAAAGAGGCGCCGGCCACCCCAAAACAGGCCCAAGATGGGCCCAAGAGCGGGAGCAGGAGGCTTCCAGAGACCTCTGGGAGGCTTCCGGGACCACCCAGAGGCCCCCAACACACCCCCGATCCCTGAGAGGCCCCAAAAAGACCCCGACGAGGCTCCAAAAACAGCCCAAGAGAGCTGCGAGAGCCGTCCCGAGAGAGCCCGAAGACGGTAAAATCGTTGAGTTCCAATGATTTGTCACAAGTTTTTCGCCTTTTCACGTTTTCCCGCCTCCAACCCTCGAAGATCGAGGATTTTACCAGAATTATGTTTTTTTTTTGTTTCCAAAGAGGGACTCCTACTCGGGGGTCCTACACATCCCCTGACATCTGGCCAGTACCGCGCCTCCCGGCTTCCCGGGGGGGGACCCCAAGACGCCGAAGGACAGCCCATGACGACCCGAAGGAGCACCCAGAACGTAGAAAACTGCCCAACATGCTCCCGCGCAGCCCGAGACACCCTTCCGACGACTCTCCAGGCCTCCAGGAAGCCTCCAGAACCCCCAGGGGGTCCGAAAGATCCCACACCCCTGAGGGGCCCGGCTGAAAAAACCCGCGAGGCACAAACAAAAAACAACGCCGAGCAGCGCCGAGGTAATAGAAAAAAATCGCCGGCCCAGCGGGCCAGAGGCGTGCTAAGATCTCCAGTGACTGCTCAACAATATTTCTAGTTCGCGCGCGCGGGGCGGGCCCTGGGGGCCCCCGGACGAAAAGTACCCCGGCAAGGTCCCGGCAGACTCCCGGCAGACTCCCGGCAAGGTCCCTTTTCGGAGCCCAGGAGGGCTCCAAACGGTCCAAATGAGGCCCGGAAAGCCCTCCAGACGGTCCAAGAGAGCCGGGAGACGCCGAAATATCACCCCCAAGCGCCTGCGATGGCCTCGAGAAGGCCCAACAGGCCTTCAAGACGCCCCAAGAAGTCCCTAAGCGGCGCCCCGAGAGGGCTCCCAAAAGCAAAAATCGTCCCATTCCCCTAGGCAAACGTACATGTTTAACATGCCCGCCTCTTCGTCTTTCGCACCTTTCAAGGCGGTCCAAGAGGCCCCCAAGATCACCCCAGACGGCCCGAGAGACCCTCAAGACCGCTCAAAGACGGCCCAAGAGCGCTCCAAGAAGGCCAAGAAACCCTCAAGAACTCTTTTTCGGAGCCCTGGACGGCTCCAAATCGGTCCAAGAGGGGCCCGAGAAGCCCCCCTGACGGTCCAAGAGAGCCGGGAGATGCCGAAATATCACTCCCAAGCGCCCACGATGGCCTCGAGACGGCCCAACAGGCCTTCAAGACGCCCCAAGAGGTCCGTAAGAGGCCCCTAAGCGGCGTCCCAAGAGGGCTCCCGCTAGCAAAAACCGTCCCATTCCCTTGGGAAAACGTGCATTTTTGACATACCCGCTTCTTCGTCTTTCGCACCTTTCAAGGCGGTCCCAAGAGGCCCCCAAGATCACCCCAAGACGGCCCGAGAGACCCCCAAGACCGCTCAAAGACGGCCCAAACGCGCTCCAAGAAGGCCCAAAAAATCCTCATGAACTCTTTTTCGGAGCCCTGGAGGGCTCCAGATCGGTCCAAATGAGGCCCGGAAAGCCCTGCAGACGGTCCAAGAGAGCCGGGAGACGCCGAAATATCACCCCCAAGCGCCTACGATGGCCTCGAGACGGCCCAACAGGCCTTCAAGACGCCCCAAGAGGTCCCTAAGCGGCGTCCCGAGAGGCAAGCAGAAATCGTCCCATTCCCTTGGGAAAACGTGCATGTTTGACATATCCGGCCTCTTCGTTTTTCACACCTTTCAAGGCGGTCCAAAATGCCTCCAAGATCACCCCAAGACGGCCCGGGAGACCCTCAAGACCGCTCAAAGACGACCCGAGAGCGCTCCAAGAAGGCCCAAGAAACCCTCAAAACGGTCCACGAGGCCCCAAAACGGCCCCATGATTGAGGTCCACAGGGGCAACCTGAACGGAAATGTTGAGCCCCCCGTCCAAACACGCCCCCGAAAAGGCCCCTACAAACCCCCAGGTAGCCCCACGAAGCCCCCAAGAGAACCCCAAGAGGCCCCCAACAGGCCGCAAGAAAGCCCCAAGAGGCCTCCAAAACACCCCCAGGAAACTCCCAGGAGGCCCCCAAGAGGCCAGGCAGACCTCCCCAAGAGACCACCAAGAGGGCCCACCCAAAACCATCCACGAGGCTTCCCAAAGTTCCAAAAAGCTCCCACGAAGCTTCCAAGGGTTCCCAAGACCCCACGAGGCCTCCAAGAGCTCCCAAGAAGCTTCCCACAAGCCTCCAAGGGCTCCCAAGAGGGTCACAAGTGCTCCCCCTGAGAAGCTCCGTGATGCTCCCAGAAGAGACCCCCAGAAGCATCCATGAGCTCTCCGAGATGCCCCCTTCCCCAGATCCCCAACACTCAAATTTTTTGGCGTCCCTCGCCCTTGGATCCTTCACTGCGTTCTCCTCCAATTTCGATTGGATGAGGATGGGCTCGGGATGGTCCTGGAAATGTGCGCGGGTTCTGGAGGTCAGCGTGAATTATGAAAGGTTGTCGGTTGCGTGCATTATGTAAACACAACCAACAATATGAATAATGGAAAGACCGCACATACATCACCGATCCCCAAACGGCCCACATGTGTATGCATTCGGCAACGCGCACGATGTGGGATGTCAAGCGCGACTGGCCCCATCCTCCTCGAAGTGGTCGCCCTCATCATCCTCCGCCTCCACCTGCTTCTATCCGCCCCTGCCTCCCTCGTATCCCTGCCCCACCTCCCTCCCCTCCATTTTCTCCTCTTCCCCCTCGCATTCCCCCCCAAAGTGGGGCGGGGCGGACCCCGGGCGAACCCTCAGGAACCCCGACAACATACAGGAATCCCTGCAACACCCCGGGGAGGAGGAGGAGGAAGAGGAGGAGGAGGAGGAGGAAGAGGAGGAGGAGGAGCAGGAGGAGGAGGAGGACGAGGAGCAGCAGCAGCAGCATCAGCAGCAGCAACAGAACGGCCCTTGAGACGCCCGAGCGGCCCAAGAGAGCCCCAAGAGGGCCCCAAAAGGGACCCAGGAGAGGGAACGCGAACCGACAAGTCGAGACTTCCGCCCCAAGCTGCCCCCATGAGGCCCCAAGGGGCCTGCAAGAGACCCCAAGAGGCCTAAACAGAAGCCGCAAGAAGCCCCCCGACGGCACCCAAGAGCCCTCAAAACTGCCTCCAAAAAAACCCTCGAAAAGGCCTGCCACGATATCTCAACGAACATCCAAGAGGCCTCTGACCTACAACCCAAGCACGGTGGCGGGATGGGCCGAAAACCACCAGATAGCCACCTCGTAAGACAGTAGAGGCCGAAGCCCCCACAACAAGCTCCAAACAAACTGCTTCATCCCCATGCGTTCTGCCGCAACTGCTCTGGAAAACGACCACGGCCCACCAGCGCCGCCTGGCTCGCGACCGCGCAAGCAAACGCCCGCGATGGCACAATACGGGCCGGCGGAATGAGCGAAACGATTTAATACATCCCACAAGTTTGGCCCCCTGTCTACCCTTGCACAACATACCACAATTCAGACCCACCTTCGCTTCCCCCCCCCAAAAAAAAACATGAAGCCTTTGAGGGCTCCAAATCGTTGAATACCTAAAAGGGAATTAGTGAATTCTGCGTTTCCAAACGTCCCCTTCTATACGATTCCGTGGCTCGCGCAGGGCCTCCAAGGGAGTCCTTGGACGCAAGAAGCGACCAAAATGATATTACAGTCGGACTTGATTGGACAAGACACGTGAGAGGACACAAGACCCTTCCGAGGGCCACGTTGCCACAGGAATGTAGGAAGGCATGGGTCGTGAGACACAGGACACAAGGGTACCCTTGATTTGGAAGGGTCGACCTACTAATCTGGGCCGACTGTACATGAGGGAGCCTATCAAGCCTAGCTAGAACTTGAGCGCGAGCGAAGCGCGCGCGAATTATCGCGCGCGCTTCGCGCGCGCTCAGGTTCTAGCCCAGGCCGGGGGCGCGATGGAAGATCTTGGACAGCGCCGTGCCTCCTGAGGGCCTCTTGGGAACCTCTTGGGTCTTCGTGGGGGCATCTGAAGGGCTTCTGGGAGGTTCTCCGTGCTTCCTCAATTTGCTGTTGGAAGCACCTCTCGGGTGCTTCTCGGGGGGGCGTCTTGGGGTCCCTTGGGGGCATCGTCAGGGTCCTCCGGGCAGTCGAAAAGCAATGTTCTGCAATCTGAAGCAGTCAATTGGCCGTCTTAGCTGCGTGAAGCCCGGCTTGAGGCCGCATTGGGGCAATCCGGAAGCCCGCCGGGGCCTCCTTGAAGCAATTTTGATGCATCGAGAGCACTGTTCGGCTACCATGGGGCCCCGGGTACGTCTCCTGGGAGCCTTTCGAGGCCTGGTGGGAGACTTTGGGGGGCATCATCGGACCACTTGGGGACTCTTGGGGCCTCCTGTGGGCCTCTTAGGGCGGAAGGCTCTGCACTTGGGTTCGCGTTCTCCTTCTTGGGGCTCTCTTGGGGCCCTCTTGGGGCCCTCTCGGGCCGTCTTGGGCGCCTCAAGCACCGTCTTGGGGCCCTCGTGGGCCGTCTTGGGGCCCTCTTGGAAGCCTCTTCGGCTATCTTGGAACGGTCTTGGGGGCCTCTTCGGCCTTCTGGGGAGCTTCTTGAGGGCCTCTTGGGTCCTATTTGGGGGGCTTCGTGAGTGCCTCTCGGGGTGGAAGACTCGGATTTTCGGTTCGTCACCGCCCCCCTTGGGGCCGTCTTGGTACCCTCTCGGGCTGTCTTGGGCCCTGTTGGAGACCTCTTGGGCTATCTAGGATTGGTCTTGGAGGCCTTTTGGGCCGCCTTGGAGCGTCAGGACGCCAAAAGGCTGAAAACTCTAAAATCGACCAACAACCTATGGCAAGACATTGATTTGGGCCTCTTGGGGCCTTCGTGGGAGGCCTCTTGGATACTCTTCGGCCCCCTGGGGGGCTTCTCGGGGCCTCCTGAGAGCCTCTCGGGGTGGAAGGCTCGGATTTTCGGTTCGTGTTAACCCTCTTGGCTCCATCTTGGGGCCGTCTTGGGCCCCTCTCGGGCCGCCTTGGGCACCTCTGGCGCCGTCTTGGGGCCCTCGTGGGCTGTCTTGTGACCGTCTTCGAGGCCTCTGGGTATGTCTTGGAGCGGAAATTTAGGCCTCTTGGGCCGTCGTGGAGCGTCAGGAAACTGAAAAGACGAGAACTCGAAAATCGCTCAAACACCAAAGGGAAACAAATGAATTGTGCCTCCTGGGGCTCGTTGGGACCTTGAGAGCCATCTTGGAGGCCTCTTGGGGCGTCTTGGAGGCATCTTGGACAGTCATGGACTAATTCTAGGGTGATCTCGGGCGGTGGTCGTTTTCGTTGTCTGGAAACGTCACTTCTGGCAATCCAGGGCCGTCTTCGGGCGACTTTGCAAGGCCCCTAGCGCCACGGCAAGGCCCCTGGGCCCCCCAGTGCGAAGGTCCCATCCCGGGCCCCGCCTCGTGCCCGCGGCAGGGCGTCCCTGGGCCGTCTCGCCGCTCTCGTGGGGGCCTGTTGTGGCGACATTTGAGTGTCCGGGGCAGTCGGGACCCTGAACAGGCAGAATAGCTGAAATCCAGTAAAAACCTAAGAACGATCAATGATTTTGGCGTCCCTTTGGGCCGTGTTGGAAGCCTTGTGGGCCGTCTGGAGGCCATCTTGGGCGCGTTCGAACAATATGTCTGCGCTTCGGGGCCTCTTGGAGGCGATTTGTGGCCCTTTTCGTTTGTGTTGGGGCTTTCTTGGGCCGTCCATGGGATGCCCTGGGCTGTCTCGGCGCCCTCTTGGAAGCCTGTTTGGAAGATTTTTGGGTGTCCTGGACCGTCCTCCTTCAACGTCGGCGGCACTGGCCGTAAGACTTCCTGGGGATATATTTTGTTTGGGTGTCGTTGGGCGCCTCCGGAGGCTTCGGGGCATGACGCGTTTGCGAGCGTGGCGGCAGGTAGCGCTGCTTGGGACTCTCGTTTTTTTCCTGGCAGGCGTTTACGGAACACGGTTTGGGGAGAGGGCGTCAACCCGAGAATCATGTTCCAAGGAAGCTTTCCGGGAGCATGATTTGTTAGGTTCTACTAACGGGGGGGCCCTCAGGGGCCCTCTGGGGGTTTACCGAGGGGCCACTGTTGGCCTTGTCGGCAAACATGGTTGGGGCGGTGGGCGGAAGCCCAAGGAATCGTGTTTCCAGAAAGCTGTCTTGGAAATACGACTTACCGAGGTCTCTTGGGGGCCGGCAGGGGGCTTCCCTGGGGGCGCCTTGGGGGGCCTATTGGGGCTTCCGGGGGTCCTCTTGGGAGCCTCACGGGGCTTCTTGGGAGCCTCTTGATGGCCTCCTGGGGCGAAATAGGAGCCTCTCAGGCCAGAGACCTTCTGTCGCGCTCTTCGGGCCCTCTTGGGTCGCTCTTGGGGCTCTCTTGGGGCGATCTCGAGGCCCTCTTGAATTATCTGGGGAGCCTCCTGGGCCGTCTCTGGGCTTTCTTGGGGGCCTCTTCGGCCATCTTGGAGCGATCTGAAGGGCCTCTGACGCCGTCCGGGACCGTGGGGAGGCGGAACATGCGAGAGAGCAAAAATGTTTCAAAAAGAATCGGAAAATGAATGATTCGGCTTCTGGGGCCCTTTGGAGGGGCCTCTGGAGGCGCTCTTGGGGCGTTTTGGCGGCGTCGTCGGCCGTCCTGAGGCCATCTTCGGCGTGTCCGGGGCCTCTCGGGGCTGTCTCGGCAATCTTTAGGGCCCTCTTGGCGTCTCGTGGCGTGTTTGGGAGCGGGCCCGGAAAGTCCAGGGAGCCCTGGGACCCCCCCATACCCCCCTGAGGGGGTACGGCACCAGCCCGGACCCCACCCAGCCTACTCCCATATATATATATATATATATATATATATATATAGATAGATAGATAGATAGATAGATAGATAGATAGATAGATAGATATATAGATAGATAGATAGATAGATATATAGATAGATAGATAGACATATATATATATATATATATATATATATATATATCCGCCGGCCCCCTTGTGGGGCCACCAGGCTGCGAGGCACGGGTTCGCAGTTTCCAGTACCAGTTGTAGCTTGTAGTTTCCAGTGTTACAGTTCTGCTTCTTGCTGGTTACTGTAACTAGTTGATTGACCGCGCGAGGGGGGGGAGGCCCAAACGGGATTTTTTAGCACCCCCTGGGCGCGTTGTCTGAATTGCTGGGGGGGCTCGAAATCGACACCCCTCACGCAGATCCGCGGGGTCAGGGTCCAAAAACACAAGGGATTTGCCACATTTCTGAAATTCGGTGCCACCCCTCACGCAGATCCGCGGGGTCAGGGTCCAAAAACACAAGGGATTTGCCACATTTCTGAAATTCGGTGCCACCCCTCACGCAGATCCGCGGGGTCAGGGTCCAAAAACACAGGGATTTGCCACATTTCTGAAATTCGGTGCCACCCCTCACGCAGATCCGCGGGGTCAGGGTCCAAAAACACATGGGATTTGCCACATTTCTGAAATTCGGTGCCACCCCTCACGCAGATCCGCGGGGTCAGGGTCCAAAAACACAAGGGATTTGCCACATTTCTGAAATTCGGTGCCACCCCTCACGCAGATCCGCGGGGTCAGGGTCCAAAAACACAAGGGATTTGCCACATTTCTGAAATTCGGTGCCACCCCTCACGCACATCCGCGGGGTCAGGGTCCAAAAACACAGGGATTTGCCACATTTCTGAAATTCGGTGCCACCCCTCACGCAGATCCGCGGGGTCAGGGGATTTGCCACATTTCTGAAATTCGGTGCCACCCCTCACGCGCATCCATCGCAAGCGTGGTAACCCAAACTGCGAGTACTCCCTCGGCCCTTTTCCCAAGGTGTGGTAACCATGCTCGTAAACCATACACGTCTTACCAATCGCCCTGTGTGGTAACCCCTCTTGTGATCAGTTGGTTTTGCCGATTGCGAATCGGCCTCGCATGAAGTTCCGATACTGCTGCACGACAGCGCCAAAGCCTCATGACTTAGCTCTTCCATGGCCCATTCTCCGAGAGAGGGGGCCGGCGGCAGGGGGCGAAGCCCTTACGGATATCTATATATATATATATATATATATATATATGTATGTATGTGTGTAGCTGCTTGTTTGTTTTGCAAGGTTCAGACGGGCCTCGACGGTTGCGTCCGAACTGGTCGTGGCTGTGGCCTGATTTTCTAGAGCAAGCTGCTTGGCACGCACACCCGTGGCGTCAGCGTGACCTGTCCTCCCCTTCATCCCAGCAAACTGTTTTTTTCGGTGCACAGTTCAAGACGCCGTCCGATGTACGCGACGCGCTTCGGGAGCTCATTGCCCCCTTCGTCAAGCATGGACCCAAACGGCTGCCGCGCGGCGCACGCGCACTATACTCACGTGCACGAAAAGGAAAATTGTTCATTGGTCAACTGCGAAGCCACTGCACCCCCTCCCCCGGAATCCTCGCCGCGGGGGCACTTCTCGGGGGCGTCGTGGAAGCGGCACGGGCGGCACTGGCCCTTGAAGTGGTTCTTCGAGCCCCTCGGCGATGCGGCGCCGGCCGCATCCCAGCGATGCACCGATTCTCGCCAGGACGGCCCTGACGACGAGCGAATAGCGGCCGGGGCGAGGGGGGCGGCCGAGGGGCGCAGCCTCCTCAGAGGGCAAGGGGCTCCTTAGCAGGGCCATGCCCCTCATCAGCCACACTTCCCAAGTGGGGTCCAAGCACGTGGGGTCAAAGGATCGCGCCGCATCGCCGATGCATCGGCTCCACATCCAGCCGCCTCGCCGATGCGTCGGGGATGCAGGTCGATCCATCGCCCACATCTACTCGGACCCCGTTTGAGATGCCTGGACACGCCCACGTCCGCACTTTCGCGCGAAGCGGAGGGGGGGCCCTCACCCCGCAATGCCCCCTCGTGCTGGCCACCGGCGATCCTGCGCCCAGGACTGCCGGACAGGCATCCCTGGCCAGGCCAGGAAGCAGAGGGGGGCCCACCGATAGAGGCCTCCCAGATGGGGTCGGAGCAGATGGGTTCGGAGGATCGCGACGCATCGTCGATACGTCACCGATGTATCGGCGATGCCTCGGCGACGTCGGCGATGCATCAGTCACATCGGCGTGGCGAAAATTGGGCCCACAGTCGGTCGCATCGCCGATGCGGCGCGGTCCTCCGACCCAATCTGCTCGGGCACCATCTGGGAGGCCTAAAACCGAGCGAGCTAGGGTTGAGGGGCTGCCCAACTGGGACAGGTGCACGCAGGGGTGGCTGGCGCCCTCAAGCGTAGAGCATCACGCGTTCGGCACGTTCGCGTCGTGACGACCCCGGCGTTGGTCTCTGAGACCGCGTGGATCGTTCAGCCTCGAACGATCGGCTGCTTTTCGATCGCCAGATCGCTCCGTATCTCAGACTCTTTGCCACTGGCGGCGTTCGACCTCGAACGCCCTCGGCGGGGACGCCGACGCGTGGGCACGACTCGAACCTGCCGTGGTGAGCATGAACTTTCCGAGGTCCGTGCGGATTCCTTGGGACGGCGCCGGACCCCTCCCCGCAGTCCTTCATGAGCGTTCGGAACGCGCGAGGGTGAGGGGCAACCATAGGGAGGGACTGGCATAGGGGGGAATGCGTCGACCTGGAATCGGCGACACATCGGCGATAGGCCCCCGCTAGTGAATCCGCACCTTCCTGGGCGGGTTGGGGCCATCGAGCCCCGATCGGCGATCAATGGGCGATTGGGGATCGATGCATCCCCCCCTCATTGCCTATCCCCCCCTGTCGTTGCCCCCGAAAGGGGGAGGTGCCGACGGCACAGCCTGGGAGTGCCCAAGAGGGGGGGGGGGGCCCGGCGCCGGCCCGGGAAGTCCGCGCGGACCTCCGAAGGCTCATGCTCGTGGTCTTGGCTCTGTGGTCCTCGACGGCTGGCTTCCTGAGGCAGGCGAATGCGAGGCGGGGACGCATCCATATCCACCGCCTGGGCACCGACGTCCTGGTGCCCGAGCGGGCGGTGGATAACATGGACATATTTCGGCCCCCGAGGGCCCGAATCTGTCCACATCCACCGCCTGCCGAGGCTTCGAAAACTGACCCTCCAGGCGGTGGTCATGTATAAATTCCCGCCTCGGAGGACAAGACGAAGCCAAGACGAGAATAACGTCGGGTGAGGCTCAGTCGAGAATCTCTGAGATCTGGCGGCTCTGGAGGATGTCTTGTCACGGGTCAGGGAGGCTCTGAAAGACAAAGGGATCTGGGTAGAGACAAACTTGTTGCATCATTGATCAGACGACAACACGTGTCACCCCAGTGACTCCTCGGAGTCACGTCTAAAGCCAAAATGGCTGGGAGGGGGGAGAGGGGAGAGGGAGGGAGAGGGGAAAGAGGGGGGACGGAGGTACCCCCCATGGAAGCAAAGGGTGACAACCTCGTGCGCCGCGGCCCTTTCAGAACGCTCCGGAACGCTCTGCGAGCGTTCTGGAACCCTCTGGACGCATTTGTCCTTGCCTTAGCCCCGTCGGACAGGACCTCGTTGTATTCTCATGACGTGGGCCCACGGGATCGCCACCCCTCCTGGGGGCCGGACTCCCACCCTGAGCCTTTCTTGACGGCCCCAGGGGGCCGAGGTGGAAACGGCCTCCAGAGGCCGAACACGCCGACAGGCTGAGCGCCACTGTGATACATGCCGTGTTTGTCGGCGGCGCCCATGTCCGGAGCTGAGGCCTCCCAGGTGGGGTCGGAGGGTCGCGCCGCATCTGGGAGGCCTGGAGCAGAACAAGAAGAAACGGCATGAGCATAAACTTCTGGCGCTCCGCGCGGATCTCTTGGATCTGCGCTGGACCCCCCTCCCTGGCGCGCGGAGCGCGCCAGGGGCGGCGCCGGAGGCGCCGCCCGGGGGGTCCCAGCGCCGATCCGGGGGGGGGGGGCGGGCAAGCAGGCGGGCGGGGCTCTCAAAGGACGTCGTCGTCGTCGTCGTCGTCGTCGTCGTCGTCGTCGTCGTCGTCGGGCTCAGGCCGGCTCGGCGCTCTGGCAGGTTGAGGTGGGGCGGGAGGCCCAGGGGGAAATCCGCGCGGCGCATGTTTATGGCCATCTTTCTTCTTCGACATCAGGGAGGCCTGTCAGGGGCTCTCCCAGGGGGGGACGGTGACCAAATTTGGTGACGATGGCAAGGGGCTCCAGGGGCCCTTTCTGGGGGAGGGGGACCGTGCCCAAATTTGGTCACGATGGCACGGAGCTCCAGGGGCTCTGGAGGGGGGGGGGAGGGTCGGGCAGGGCCTCGAGACCGTGCCCGCGAAGGCCGGGGGCGGCGGGGCGCCGAGCACGCGGCCGCCGAGGAGCGCGGGGCTGGCGAGCACGAGCTGCGCGCTCAGGCCGCGGAGGCTCTGGAGGTCGGCGAAGTCGTCGCCGGGGGCGCTGGCGGGCAGGGCCGGTCCGGAGTGGCCGCGTGCAGGCGACGGACAACCCTGAGATCCAAGCGATGCGGGTTTTGCACGACGGGCGTTCCCGCTCCGTCTCGGGCCCCGGGGCCCTCACGTCCCGATCGGGCTCGAGAAGTGAGGCAGAGAGATATAGGGTCCGGGGCTCGGGTGTCACCGAAATCGGCGCGCTCTCTCATCTGGGTCTGTCCTCCTCCTCCTCCTCCTCCTCCTCCTCCTCCTCCTCCTCCTGCTCCTCCTCCTCCTCCTCCTCCTCCTCCTCCTCCTCCTCCTGGCTCAAGCCGTTCTGGCTCAAACAGGCCACATCGGACACTGTTTGGACCCCTGCCTCGCCTGGTCCACCCCAGGCGCGAGGCAGCAGCACGGCACGAAGTTGGAACTGCAGTGTTTAGCAGGCGAAGAACGGTATACGATCAACTTTTTCGTGGTCGGGGGCGAATGCCCAAGGGTCGTGGACGGTGGCGGTACGGTGCTGCTGAGGCCTGGTGTGCAAGGCCACACCAGGCCCCAGCACCGCATTCAGCGTCGGCAGCGCACTGCCGTCTCAGCGGCATCCATGGCCGCTGTGGAGAATAACTGGTGGCCCAGTGCCACGAGGTTTCGGGTTAGGGTCGGGTCGGCCAACCCTTCGCCTCCCCCATAGCCAAGTGATGGTCCTCCTCCTCCTCCTCCTCATCCTCCTCCTCCTCCTCCTCCTCCTCTTCCTCCGCCTCCCCCTCCTCATCCTCCTCGTCCCACGCTTCCCCATGGTCGTGCTTTTGCTCCTGCTCCCCCTCCTCATTCCCTCCTCGCACCGGGCGCACGCATGCGCGACCTGCTCTGCTTCTGCAGAGAAGAAAGAAGAGTGCGGACGTTGATGCATGTGTGTGCATTGCTTGGGACAGCATGCGAATCTATGAAAACACCATGTTTCGTGGCATGGAGAGGCATGTGTGCCCGCTGGTTGGAGCAGAGCATTGGAATCCATGGGCCGTGCAGCCAGATGGGTGACTCCTTCCGCGGAGCATCCCCGCGGTCATTGTTTATGTCGATGTTCAAAACAGTTTGTTTTGTAAAGTTCGGTGGGTGGAGTCAGGGCGCGGAGCTGTGTCGAAGTAGCGCTCGACCCACGAAACGCAATGTTTTCTAGCGTTGCAAACGAAGGCGGGCTGACCACGAGATGTCCCCTGGATCGGCTCTCTTCTCAGAGGCCTCCCCAGGGGGTCGAACGGTGCCACGCCAGCGCGTCGTGGCATCCACCACCAAGACGAAAGTCCTGCCATGATACAGGACCCAATACACATGCGAAGGGCCAACCTTCCATGGACCAGTGCTGGATTAGGACGCCATGGCGCACATCCTAGGCGTACCAGGCGCACCAGTACTCATGACATCGGTGAGCCACACCAGCGCGTCAGGACAACCATCATCATGAGGATGCTCCTGCGACAACACATTCGTGGATGCACATGCGGACGGCCAGTGCCCCATGTGCACCCATCGCTCCGCCACACCAGCGCGTCATTGCATTCATAATCATGATGACGTCCATGCTACGACGACGCACTCATCACGTGCAATCGTTGGGTCTGGGGCGCAGTCGCCAGCGTGCGTTGACACCTCTTGCTTTGCGCAGAGGCCGCAGGTGTCGCGCGCTTGGTGGGGGAAGACGGCGCTTGCAATTCAGGCGAAATGCTGCTCGAACCACGAACCGACATATTTTCTCGATGCGGCACCGAAAAAGAGATGTCCACGAAATCGCCCTCATAGTGTTTTCCCGTCAAACGGGCTTACACAATCCTTGGGATCGGTGCTGAATGAAGGCTCCATGAGATCGGCGTGCCACACCAGCACATCATAGCACCCATCATCATGACGATGGTCCTGCGATGATACACGAATGAATACACATGCGGAAGGCCAGCCTGTCATGACATCGGCATGCCACATCAGCGTGTCATGATACTCATCATTATGACGCCGGGGGTGATGATGATGATGGCCCTGCGACGAAACATTAGTGGATTCACGTGCACAGGGCCAGCGTTCCATCCAGCGTGTCAGGACGTTCATCATCAAGACGATGTCTTGCTTCGACGACACACGCAACACATGCAATGGACACGTCTGGGGCGCATAAGTCGGCAGCGTCCGTTGATACCTTTTGCCTTGGGCAAAGGCCAAGCGGGTCGCGCACATGTGTGCCCGGAGCCTCCCTCCTCCTCGTTACTCCATTTTCACTCCTTTTCGTCCTCCTCCTCCTCTTCCTCCTGCTGTTCCCCCTCCTGCTCCGCCTTGTCCTTCTGTCCCACGTCCTGCTGCTCCTCCTCTTCCTCCTCCTCCTCCTCCTCCGCCCAGATGTTCCCAGAGAGGTCTCTGGGAACAATGGGCAGCTATTCTCCACCGCCCTGGCAAAGATCGTGGCCCAAAGGGAGCTCCACCTACGGCCCCAGAGGGAAGGTTCGAAATGTGTCTTAACGCCCATGTCGGCACACCCCTCACACACAGATCGAGCCCCAAGGTCGCATGGCGTCCCTCCGCTCTGCACATCCCTGACGCGGGTCGTATCCCGCAAGGGTCTCCATCGGTGGCACCCATGGGAAATCTCGCATGGCGTCCCCATGCCTGTTTCGGCGCCGCTACAGGCGGATCGGGCTCCACAAGGAGCTCCACCTACAGCCTCAATGGGCGCGCTCGCGCGGCGGCCAACTCCTTCACGCGGATCGCGCCCAACAAGGAGCTGAGCGTGCCTACACGCGCTAGCTCCGAAGCGACCCTCTATGCGGTCGACTTCGCGTCGCGCAGTATCTGAAGAGAGAGCCGCGCGGTGCGCTACACGCAGCTGCATTGGGGTAGGCCCTTCGCCAGGCCAAGTGATTTCTTGTTTCTCGTACATGCACAAATGCATGAGCACAGGCATACAATCGTGCATGCACGCATACATACATGCGTACATACAAACACACACAGAGACATAGACATAGAAACAAAATCTGTGCCGATCAGGCGGCGCCTCAGGAACGGGCCTAGGTTGTGGACCAACGGCCTCTCGTAGATGTATACTGAGGTTGCTTAGGAAGTCTCTCTGAAGCCCGTTTGGGGCCTCGTTGGGGTCTCCTGGGGGGCTTCCTGGGGGCCTCCTGGGGCCTCTTTTGGGGGCCCCTTTGGGGCCTCCTTTTCATATATAAGAGGTGCCAGGCAACCCAATTCGCAAAGCAAAAAACGCGCTCTAAGTAATCAGCGAGCCCGTTCAGCGGCAAAGAGTCGCCGACGAAGTGCTACCGAGCAAAGCACCCTGACACCGAGATGATGGACAATGGAATGATGAAGCGATGAGGAGATGGATCCTTCTTTAACGCGATCAGGGAACTCAGCGACACGCTATCAAGGAGCTACTCGCTATGCCCATCCGACCTCGGGCATAGCTCGACACAGGCGCTGACTCTCTGGTCACGCTGCCTGCTCGACAAAATCGCTTAGCTCTGCCCTGCTCGGGAAGCAAGAACCACCATTGATGTGTGCACCTCGGGCTCGGGTCAAATGCGATAATCGGGGGCAATACACAGAGAAGGTCGGCAGCGCGCTGCTGGCACTGCAAAGGTTTGTGGCACGCAGAAGCCGCCACAAGCGGGCTGTAGAGATGGTTGACGTCGCGTCACACGGCTGAGACCGCCTCGAGCTGACTGTCGGCACTGCTGGCCGGATGAAACTGGCAGTCGGCACTGCACTGCTGGCAATGCGAGGGTACGGTTGCACGGAGCGTGGCGGGGCACAAGGCAACCTTTGTGGCGCACAAAGGCTGGTCCAAGCGGACTGTCGACACTGCTGGCTGACGGCACGTCGTACCACTGAGACTGCTCGGTCTGGCTGTCGGCACTGCTGGCCGGATCAAACTGGCAGTCGGCAATGCACTGCTGGCACTGCAAGCTTTGTGGCGAGCAACGGCTGGCCCAAGCGGACCGTCGGCACTGCTGGAAGACGTCACGTCGCTCCACTGAGGACTGCTCGGTCTGACTGTTGGCACTACTGGCCGGATCAAACTGGCAGTCGGCAATGCACTGCTGGCACTGCAAGCCTTTGTGGCGAACAACGGCTGGCCAAAGTGGACCGTCGGCACTGCTGGAAGACGTCACGCCGCTCAACTGACGACTGGTCGGTCTGACTGTTGGCACTACTGGCCGAATTGAGCTGGCAGTCGGCACTGCACTGCTGGAAATGCGAGGGTACAGTGGCACGGCGCGCGTCGGGGGATGAGGTAAGGAAGAGGAGGGAGATGAAGAGGAGGAAGAGGTATTACGCACGATTGACAGGAAGAAGCGGCTCGGGTGGAGGCACGGTGGCAGGCTAGAAAAAATCCATTATTCGGCAGCCTCACAAAAACAGACAAGCAGAAGTGAAAGTACACGTGTCACTCAGCGTACAAAAGTGATATGCCGCGTGCAAAGGCAGTGGTGAACACACCACCATTAAAATCCGCCCCACGCCAGCATGATGGCGGTGTTAGAATGCATGTTGCCCCCTTTCCCAGGTTCCCCAGACTCCGCCTCTCTCGCGGTGAGCAGTGCATGAGGAGAGGGCCATATCATATCCTTCGGCAGGCTAAGTTTTCAAGGGCCGCCGCCCTGCTGGGACACGCTCATATGATATCGCCCCAGTCGGATTGCTTCCGAAGGCTTGTCGGCCTCGAGACGGCTGCAGGATGGTCAACTGCCGCTGAGATGATTGCAGTATGCTCGAAGACCAATGAAAAAGAGTGTAACCTGGCCCCAAAAAGCACCTCAGATGAACGGAGAGAGGAAAACCTTCAAAGATGGCCACATGCCGTCCGGGGGAGAGAGAGTGAGAAGCCGTGCTCCTCAGAGATGCATTGGCGAAAGGGGTGAAACGACTGCGACAGGCGATGCGAAACCTCAGGCGTCGGTAGCTCCATGTAGATGTAAAATACGAGACCGATGTTGGATCACAGCAGCAATTCGACCCCTGACTTCCATCCTGGGTTCGGTTTAGTGAAGAGTAAATTTCGGGGTCCTTCTGTGGGAAAAAGCATCACTTTACCAATCTGGGGCCCCTGGGGCCTCAGAGGGCCCTGGGGCCCAACGTTAGTGACGTGATGGTTTTCGGGCCTCAGATATAAGCAGATTTACATACCTCGCCATGCATACCCTGCTCGCCAAAACTGCCCGCCAGGTGGACGGCCGCAGCAGGGGAGGCAGAGGAGGGAGCGACACGCAGAGGAGCGACGGAGGACGGCGGGAGAAAGGGCGGCGACACCATCTGGAGGGCACGCGGCGCAGGGCCGAGCTTCCGACATTCCTCCCTACAATCGGCGGTGGACAAACCTCCCTTTCGTAAACCTCCCCTTAGTGAAAACGGCCTGGGGCCGAAACCGACGCACCTGGACCCGCAAAAATGACGGCCGCGACGCCCCCCTTTGCGAATCGAATGCGGCCAATTCCTTAATCGACGTGTCAGGGTAGGAGGTCTATCCACCTCCGATACAAGTATCACCCGATCGCCAGGGAGCCCACGGCCGCGAGGCGGAGCCACGCTCAGGCCGACCTGCCTCGACAGCGACCCCGCGGGCGCCAGGCCGCCGGCCCCGGGCGACGAGAGCCCGCCCGCTGCGCGGCAGCGGGCCGCGGCGCACGGGGGCCCACCAGCTCAGCGGCCAGCTCCTGCGGCGACCTCACCGGCCGGCCAGCCCCCCCGCCCCGCTGGCCGCCCCCCGCCCTGCCGGGTCGCCGGCCCAGCCGCCCTGGCTGCCGCCCGGCCGAAGCGCCCCCGAGCGGGACGAGGCTCCGCCGTCGGCGTCGGCGCCGCCGCCGCCGCCGCTGCTGCGGGGGACGCCCGCGCCCGCCTCGGCGGCAGCGCCCGCCCCGCGCCTCCGGGCGGCCTTCCGCAGCTGCCTGCGCCTCTGCGTCGTGCGGCGCCCGCGTGCGGAGCCCGCGGCCTCGTCCGGGCTGCCGCTGCTGCTGCCGCGCTCGGTGGCGGGCCCGGCGCCTCGCGCGGCGCCGGGCTCCTGCCGCGGGGCGCCCGCGGCCTGCTCCTCGTGCTGCTGCTGCTGCTCCTGCTGCTGCTGCGGCTGGTCCCATGCCCGCCGCGGCGGCGGCGGTTCGGAGCGAGAGCGCCTGCGTACACAGACGATGGGCTCGAGGTGGGGGGGGGGCATGTGCAGGAACGTGTTGCGGATCGGAACCGAGCGCCACTCGCTTGCCATCGGGGCGACGTCCACGAAGTCCCAAGCGGAAGACGGCGCGGGCTGGAATCCAAACCGCTTGAGCCAAAATGGCTACGGTGGGGCCCCTTTTGGGGCCTCTTGGGGGGCTTCTTGGGCCTGTCCTGGGGACCTCCTATAGAGCCAAGGCTCGAAATTGAACTTTCTTTTCCCCCTCTGGGACCCCTCTTGAGCCTGTCCTGGGGCTCTCTTGGGCCATCTTGGGCGCCTCCTGGGCGGCCGTCGCGGGCCCCTCTTAGGCCGTCCTTGAGCTCTCTTGGGGGCCTGCTGGGCCGTCTTGGGGACATTTGGGGTTGTCGTGGACGCTGTGACAGCCCAAGAAGCGAATCTTCTAAAAATCGGCGCTTCCACTTAGGATTATGACGGTTTTGTTTTTTGGGGCCCTCCGGGGGGCCTCTGGGGGGCCTCTTGGGGCTGTCGCGGTGTCGCCTGGGGCCGTCTTGGAGCTCTCGTGGGGCGCATTGGGGAGCTTTGAAGACCAATCGCAAGCTATCTTGGGCGGTCTTGGAAGATTCCCGAGCATTCTTAAACCTCCGAGGGTCGCCCCGGCAGGTCCCCGGGAAGAAGGGGCACTGAAATGCACGGGGGTACCGGCCCGGGGCCCTGGGCCCAGGATCTCCCTTATACGTATGTGTGTATGTATGTATGTGTATATGTGCATGTATATACATATACACATACATACGTATATCTATGTATGTATACAAATAGATGTATGTATACATACGTGTATTTATTCATACGTGTATATGTATATGGATATGTATGTGTATATGTCTATGTAAATGTATGTGTATATGTATCCGCCGGCCCCCTTGCGGGGCCATCAGGCTGCGAGGGTTAAGCTTGCTGCGCCCTGCACCAGTTCCAGCTTCCAGTTCCCATTGTTACAGTACTGCTTTCTGCTTCCTGCTGTAAATTGTTACTGTCCGCGCGAGGGGGGGGAGCCGAAAACCACCCTGGTTAGCGTCCCCCGGGAGGGTTCTCAGAATTCCTGGGGGCGTAAAAATTGAGCCCCCCTCACGCAGATCGGTGGGGTCAGGGTCCAAAAACACAAGGGATTTGCCACATATCTGAAATTCGGTGGCACCCCTCACGCAGATCGGCGGGGTCAGGGTCCAAAAACACAAAGGATTTGCAGCATTTCTGAAATTCAGTGGCACCCCTCACACAGATCGGCGGGGTCAGGGTTCAAAAACACACATGGGATTTGCCACATGTTTTAAATTCGGTGGCACCCCTCACGCAGATCGGCGGGGTCAGGGTCCAAAAACACAAAGGATTTGCCGCAGGTTTTAAATTCGGTGGCACCCCTCACGCAGATCGGCGGGGCCAGGGTCAGGGACCAAAAACACAAGGGATTTGCCACATTTCTGAAATTCGGTGGCACCCCTCACGCAGATCGGCGGGGTCAGGGTCCAAAAACACAAGGGATTTGCCACATTTCTGAAATTCGGTGGCACCCCTCACGCAGATCGGCGGGGGCAGGTTCCAAAAACAAATGGGATTTGAAACATTTATGAAATTCGGTGGCACCCCTCACGCAGATCCGTAGGGTCAGGGTCCAAAAACAACAGGGATTTGCCACATGTCTGAAATTCGGCGGCACCCCTCACGCAGATCGGCAGGGTCAGGGTCGAAAAACAAATAGGTCCCGACACTGCTTCACGGCAAAGCCAAAGCCTCATGACCTCGCTCTTCCATGGCCCATTCTCCGAGAAAGGGGGCCGGCGGCAGGGGCGAAGCCCTTACGGATATGTACATGTATGTGTGTATGCATATGTATATGTATGTGTAGATGTAGATGTTGCTGTATACTAGATCCATCGCGCGCGCTTCGCGCGCGCTCAAGTTCTAGCCAAGGCCGGGGGGGCGCTGGAAGATCTATGACAGCGCTATCAAGCACAGGCGCGTGACATAGTCGTGTCGTGCCTCCTGAGGGCCTTTTGGGGACCTCTTGGGTCTTTGAAGGGTTTCTGGGGGGTTCCCCGTGTTTCCTCAAGTAGCTGTTGGGGGGACCTCTTGGGTGCTTCTTGGGGGGGCGTCTTGGACTTTCTTGGGGTCCCTTGGGAGCATCGTCGGGGTTCTCAGGCCAGTCGGAAGGTGATGTTCTGCAATCTGAAGCGTCAGTGGCCGTCTTGGCTGCGTGGAAGCCCGACTTGAGGGCGCCTGGGGCCACACTACGGCAATCAGGAAACCTCCTGGGAGCCTCCTGCAGACAGTTCTGATGCATCGAGGGCGCTGTTGGGAAATCTTGGGGCCCCTTGCGCGTCTCCCTGGGGCCTTTTGGAGCCAATCGGGAGGCTTATGGGGACTCCGTCGGACCACTTGGGGACTCGGACCACTTGGGGACTCTTGGGGCCTTCTCTGGGCCCCTTAGGGCGGAAGACTCGGCTGTTGGGTTCGCGTTCTCATTTTTTGGCCTCTCTTGGGACCGTCTTAGGGCCCTCTCGGGCCGTCTTGGGCGCCTCGTGGGCCGTCATGGGGCCCTTTTGGAGGCCTCTTCGGCTATCGTGGAGCGATCTTGGGAAGCTCTTGGGTCGTCTTGGAGCGTCGGGATGCCAAAAGGCGTAAGCGCTAAAATGTACCAAAAACCAAAAAGGAAAATCAGTGATGTGGGCTTCTTGGGGCAATTTTGGGAGCGCGGGTCATCCCGAGGTCATCTTGGGCGTGTTAGAACGATAGCTCCGAGACAGTAGGCCTCCTGGAACCCTCTCGCGCAGTAGGCCTCCTGGAGGCCCTCCACGGCCTTTTTCATATGTGTTGGGGCTGTCTTGGGCGGTCTGGAAGCGCCCCTGGCGCACCGACGCCCCCGTGGCGCGTCGCCCCCCCCCCCTCGCCTCGGCCCAGGGATACACATACATACATACACGTACGTATGCATGTATGTATACATGTATGTGTGTATGTGTGTATGCATGTATGCATGTATGGATGTATGTATGTATGCATGCATGTATGTATGTATGCATGCATGCATGCATGCGTGCATATCCGCCGATCCGGCGTGTGAGTTTCAAGGAGTCTCAGCTACAGCCTCGAGGCTGAGCTTCAGCCTCTGGGGGGGTCGCCGGGGTGGCTCTGCCGGGGAAGGGGGGGTGGGGGGGGGGGGGGGGGTGCGAGTTTCCGGCGAACCCCGGGGCCGCTCCGGGGGAGTGGAAGATAGGGGGGGGGGGGGCGCCATGCTCCGCTTTTTCCGGCGCTTTGGAGGAGGGGGGGGGCCCAAGAGACCCCCAAGGGGTTCCAAGAGGGCCCCGAGTCGCCGAAAAATCGCTCCAAGACGCCCGAGATGGCCTCCAGACGGCCCAAGGTGTCTCCAAGACGCCCCAAGAAGCTTCCAAGAGGCCTCCCAAGAGGGCCCCAAGAGGCCAGAATCGTTGATTTTCATTGGTTTTCTCAGGGTTTTTAGCGTTCTTGCCTTTTCGGGCGTCCGACGCTCGAAGACGGCCCAAGAGGCCCCCAAGTCCGTCCCAAGACGGCCCACGATGCTTCCAACACGGCCCAAGAGAGCCCCAAGACGGCCCAAGAGGGCCCCAAGACGGCCCAAGAGGGCCTCTGGACAGCCCAAGAAGGCCCCAAGAGAGCCCCAAGAGGGGCCCAAGAGGGGGACCACGAACCGAAAGAACCGAGCTTTCCGCCCCAAGAGGCCCCCAGGAGGCCCCAAGAGACCCCCAAGGGGCCCCAAGAAGCCCACAAGAGGCCCAAAAGAGGTTCCAAGAGGCCCCAAAACAGCTCCCCAGAGGCCTCCAGACTGCCTCCGGCAGGCCCCCGGTTTCTTCCGCGGCACCGCCCAGGGCGCCACCGGCAGGATGTCCTCCGTCTCATCGTTTTCCTTCAAGTTATCGCCTCTTCCTCATTCTCCTCCTCCTCCTCTGCGACCTCACTCCTATCCCTCAACGATCGCGTCACCGAGTGCCTCTTCTTTGAAACATCCTCGCTCTTCAAACGCACATCCATACACACATGCATACATACCTACATTTAAACACATTTGCATACATAGAAAAACAATCTTCCAGACATACATACTTACATTCACACACATACACACATATTATCATACACACATACAAACATACATACAAACTAAATACATACATACGCGCACAAGCATACATACATACATACGTACCTACACACAGGCACACATGATCAATGCATGCATACATGCATGCACGCGTACATACACACACATATATCGTGAAACTCACCGCGTGCTCGAAACTTGAGAGAGACCGCGGGAAGTCGAGAGAAGCCGCGGAACGAGGCCTCTACTACTACTACCACTACTACCACAACCACTACTACTACTACTACTACCACTACTACTACTACTACTACTACTACTGCTACTACTACTACTACTACTACTACTAGTACTACTACTAGTATGTGTGTGTGGGTGATGCTGTGTGCGCATGTCTGCGGCGCAGGTTAAGTGGTGTGACTGTGTGTGTGCGTTTGAGTGTGCGCCCATAATTTCTGCGTCTGGAGAATAACCCCGAGCGACCCGGATCGGCGGCACTGGCCGAAGGCCACTACAATATGTATATATATATATATATAGGTGTGTGTGTGTGCATGAATGCATGCATGCATGTATGTATGCATGCATGTGTACATGCAGGTATGCATGCATGTATGTATGGATATATGTATGTATGCATGTATGCATACATGCATGCATGTATGCATGTATGTAGGTATGTGTATATGTATGTATGTATGTACGTGTGCGACTACATACACGTATGCACTGCATACGTGTATGTAGTTGCATGCATGTATGTATGTATGCATGCCTGTAAGTATGTGTGCATGCATGTGCATATGAATGTATGTATGTATATGTATATGCATATGTATGTGTATATGTATACGTATGTGTGTATGCACATGTATACGTATATGTATATGTATATGTGTATGTATAGGTATGTGCATATGTATATGTAAATGTATATGTATGTATGCATATATAT